ATTCTTTCCAGATACTCGGGACTTTCAAATTCAATGGTTTCAAAATCGAACACCTCAATGCCTTCTACCTCCGGGATACGGGACAACATGTCTGCCACCACGTTATCTTTCCCCTTCCGGTGCTCTATTTGGAAATCATATGCCTGTAACGCCAACGACCACCGCGCCAATCGTCCGTTTAGGTCTTTTAGCGTCATGAGCCATTGAAGACTTGAATGATCGGTGATGACTGTGAAGGGTAAGAGTTTTATATATGGGCGAAATCTATACACAGCTTTCACTGCGGCTAAGCACTCTTTCTCTGTCACCGTATAGTTCAATTGAGCTCCTCGCAGCTTCTGAGAGTAAAACGCTATCGGTCTCTCATTTCCATCCATATCCTTTTGGAAGAGAACCGCACCAATACCCACATGGATCGCGTCGCATTGGACGAAGAATCTGCTCTGAAAGTCTGGATGTATCAGCACGGGAGCTGAGGTGAGTGCTGTTTTCAGTTTGTCAAATGCCTCTTCTGCTGCAGGTGTCTACTTGAACTTGGTCTTTGACTTCAAACAGTCCGTCAGAGGCGCCGATACATCTGAAAAACCTCGAATGAATCGCCTGTACCATCCAGCTGTTCCTAGGAAACTCCTCAACTGTCTCACATTCTTTGGTACTGGGATCTTGGCTATTGCCTGAATCTTCCCTGGATCCGTCCTCAAGGACCCCTCTCCGATTACAAAACCCAGATACTTCAGGAATCGGAAGCAGAACTTGGATTTGTGTAGCCCGATCGTGAGGTTGGCGTTTTGTAAGCTCTTGGCAACCTCGGTAAGTATCCGCATATGATCCTTGAACGTTTTCGAAATAATCAACAGATCGTCTAGACGTTGCTCCTGAGCTTCTGAGGGATGACCCGGTTCATTAGTCGACATAGCCGTTGAGCAGCGTTACATAAACCAAACGGCATCCTCCGAAATTGATACAACGGCCTTCCCGGGATGGTGAATGCGGTGTACTCCCTGCTTTTTTTGTCCAGCTCAATTTGCCAGAACGCATGCTTTAAATCCACACTGCTAATGTAAATGGTTTCATCCACGCGGCTCAGAATCGACTCTATATTCTGCAATGGGTAAGCATCCTTGATCGTTACCTTATTGAGTTTCCTCGCATCTAAGCATAATCGGTTTTTTCCAGGTTTTTGGACCAGAGTAACTCTATTGTTCCATGGGCTTTCACTAGTCTCGATTACACCTAATCGCAACATTTCGTCTACTTCCGCATAGAGCAATTCCTGGACTTTTGGTGACACCGGATAGAACCTTTCCTTTACTGGGACTGTTCCCGCCTCCAGTTGTATGGAATGCGTTTCCAATTCCGTCAGTCCCATGCCGTGTCTTTCGTAAGTTAGAAACTTATCCTGCACTAACTCCAACTGTGTTTTCTCTTCCTCAGACAGGACGTGTGGTTCTACCGGTTCGCTCGTAACATGGAACTCATTCTCAATCGACGACAATTCACCTACCCCTACGACGTCCGGAGCTAATGAAAATTTCCGCCAAAAGTCTATTCCCAAATATAGTTTTTGCCGCAGTGAGGGACATAGGAGCAATGATATGCGGTGAGTTTCCTGTTTATAGCAAACGTCCACCTCTATGCGACCCGCTATCCGGTGTGTTGCACCGCCTGCTGTCTGTACTGTTGATCTCACTTTCAAAACTTCTAGTTTCAGCCGCTTTACCAGGTCCATACACCCGTCTCCTAGGATGCTCTTCGATGCTCCCGTGTCAAGTAGCCCCTGCATTGTATGATTTGCAACCAATACATCGGCAAACGCTCGATTTTCCGTCGTAGCTGCTGATATTATAGCTGTGCAGACCTCTCTTCGTTCCTGTTTTCGTTGCTGGTAACGCCTCCGGGCTCGGATTATCCTCGACGACTTGCGGGAATGGCTATCTCCCCTTGGTTCTCCAAATATCCTTTCCCTTGCCTGCTGATAGTCGCGTTCCCTCTCTTCCATAGGTCTGGCCACGTATTTTGTTCCTATATTTACCTTGTTTATGTTTTTATTTATTAATATCTTCTTAAACACTGACTTATATTTATCTTTTAACATATCTTTCAGATCCTCGGAGGCAGTTAATTCATCGTCTTGGGATGGGAGCGGGACTCCTCCGGTTGCGTCAAGCTCCATCTCGCGTTTCCCGCCTGACATTTCGGACACCGAGTAAAACGTACTCCCTGTCGGCCGCATCTGTAGCAGAACTTATTAAGGACCTCCGAGTCGCACGTGTAATACGTGTGTCCCGGCATGGAGCAATTGTAGCAGACCATCGTACTTTGCGCTCCGCCTTCTCTGCCCCGGGAAATGGCCTCTACAAACTCGGAGTCCTCGTCCGGCTCCTGGGGTACATACGCCTCGTGAACCTGGTGCTTCTCCTTCGGTGGTCTCTGGTGCTCTTGCATCCCGGATGTGCGCGACCAGCGATTGGCCAAAACCCTCTCGGCTTCGTGGCATTCCTCCCTCAGTTGTTTCAGGTTAGTTAACCACATCGGATATATTATCCTCGATATCCCGTGTCTGATGTTCACTTTAATTGTCCTTATTAGGTCGTGGTCGGATATGTTGATGTCCAACTGGGATCGGAGGCTCAGCATCGCCTGCAGATACTCATCCACGCTCTCTCCTGGTCGTTGCTTTCGCTCGCGTAGTTCTCGCTCACGCTCGAAGTTCGAACGCAGCGTTTGGAAACGTTGTTGCAGCGCGTTTTTTAGATTTGGCCAATCCCTCAATCCCGTTGTGCGTACGTGCATCCAAAACCACTCCTTGGCCTGACCATCTACCAGGCAGTGAAAAGATCGAAGAACCTCTTCCCACGTGACTTGGTAAGCCATCTGTAGATGCTCTATCCGGAATATAAATTCACCAATTGGCATTCCCCTAGGTCCGCCATCGAAGGATATACCCCACTTCCTGGGATGGCTCATCTCGGGTTTGTAATCCCTATGCCCGCCACTTGGATTCCCATTCAAACTTCCGGCCGCTAAAACTCCTGGCCTAAACAAAGGCGGTGGTTGGCTATACTGATGCCAACCCGCCCATACCCTCTGTTGCTCTTCCCAGAGTCTGCCATCAGCTCGCTGCTGCGCTGGATTAGGCATGGCTGCTTCCATCGATGGTCTAGGAGGAGGCTCCTGAGTGTCTGCCTGTGCCTTCACTGTAGGGCGGACGATCTGATTGATTTCCTTCATGAAATTCATCATATCCTGTTGCATTTGCTTCTGGAAAGCAGAGACCTCAATGGACGCCGCTTTACGGTAAGTTTCATGAGCTTGTAATAGAGCTAAATTAATGGCTGACTCTATTTCTTTACCTAAATGCACAGGACGCTTCCCTTCCTCATCGCTAGTGAGATTGTGTTGGTCGCCGCGGGGAACTCCGTCGCTAGTATGTGCTTCCACGCCCCCCACTGCTCCCGTCATATCCTGCTGGTCGCTAATCTCAAAGGCTGCGCTACCATCCATCATAAACCCCTGGGGAGGAATGATATCCTTTATCTCTCGGTTCACTTTCTGATTGGCTTGGGAACGTGTAGCTGGCGGAGTCATTATTTCGGATCCGCGGTTCAAAAAAAAACTCTAAACTTCTTCTAATTTTTCTATTAAATGTCTGCCTGTTTCTTTCGCCTTCTGACAAGGACCACGACCGCTGGATGTTGTAAGCTATCGATCCTGATCTCCTTTTGGTTGATTCTGACTTTTCGCCGTCTTTATAGGTGTTCCTTCTTCCGACGCCCTTGATGGGCCGCGCCGAACCAGGATATTTCTGTCTCCTGTCGGGGTCCCGGTCGTGGGCACCTCAGCGATCATCCTACGTGGCTGCGTCTCTCGCCTCTTAGTGGGACTTCTACGATTTGCTCTTGGTAGCAATTATCCAGGACCACCACTAGTTGTCGAGGACCGGCCGGAGATTCTCTTCCTTTTCTTTTTTTCTGTCTTTTTATATTGGGCGTTACTCTGTTATGTCTCGACTTATTTTTGGTGATCCAACCATCGGATTCCGGCTAGCAATCGGATTTCTCAAGCGTGAGTATGACCTCGATAGTTGGATCTGTCGGCACACAGTAATAATTTATTTTCTTCAGACTTGATGACAACTTAAAAAATGAAAGGAAACAAGGACTGCGGACCTGCTGTTGATGGCCGCGGAATATACCACCCCTTCCTTGAGCTGCTGTATCTTTTAAGCAACTCCCCGACACTGGCTACTGGGTCTATTATGCGTCACCTCACCCCATTGTTAACACTCTACTCGCTCATTTTCTTTTCCACTTTAATTCACAAAATGCTTATAAATAACATTCATTTAACTTCACAATTCCCTAACCTGGGTACCACAGGGACGATTACATCACACATGAATAAATAGTTATAAGTATAAATAAATAAATAAATAATAAATATATATAGGGTTACATGAGTATGTTAATTTATGTAGAAGTAGATTTGTAGTTTGTAGTGGGTGGTTATTGTTGATTATTTCGTGGGTTTATTAACTTTAAAACTAAACCCAGATGTGGGCGGCGATAATCAAATTTCCAATAGTTTTCTCCCAGTTTAATTCCTTTCCTCGCAGACTCCCAGATTTCGAATTTGGCGCCGGAAGTTTGGAATTTTGTTCCCAGAGACACGACTACTTTTTCTCAGCTTCTAGATGGTTCTCATTTGCCCTTTAGTTGCCCTTCTTGTAAGTCGGCTCAATTGCTTTTTCGAGAGAGAGTTTTCCGAAATTTAAAACTATCTTGAGCCCACTATTCTACTAGTTCCGCCACGAACCAGCACGACTCAGGAACCAGTTCTCCATTCCCAGGCCATCCCTAGTATCGGCATCTGTTGCTCCTCTCTAACCCAGGTACGCGGTCGTTTGGTATGTTTTGATTATATATAGGTTTATTTTCTTTATTTTTGGCAGACGTGTTATGGTTTCGTTTACTTGTCAATGGAACAGGAGTGCAATTGAGGCTGCCAGTAGCCCAACGCAGGACACGCCCACGCCCTGAGATATATTCGTCCTGCCGCTTTGAAAGGGTTAGCCGGGCCATTAATTGGGTACGTATTTGCACGTTTGCACATGTGTACCTATGCTGCAATTATTGTTTCAAATCTTTCGCATGAAATACTCCCAATCGTTTCCCTTGTAATGTTTCCCGTTCATATAGGTTATTCCCTACGGGTCTTACTATGCGGCACTTGGAGTACTTGCGACAAAACTTGGCATTTATGTTGTTCTTGAAATCGCTGAGGATGAAGTTTCGCTTAAAGATTTCTTGGCCAGGTAGGTACTTGATTTCTTTAGCTCTTCTATTGTATTGTTTGGCTGATCTCTCATATGTTTCATTAATGCGTTCTGTTACCTTTTCCCTTATTAGTTGAAGCCGATCCGTTCGAGATAGACTCTATATCTGGGCGTCGTTTACGGCGTCTAGTTTTCGGGCTATCCTATAATCTTGCCCGCTCAGGAACATGTGTTGGCCAAACATGGCAAAGTATGGGGAGACACCAGTGCTGTTGTGGACGGCACTCCGCAGAGAACCTTGAATCTCGACTATCTTGTCATCCCAACGTGTGTGGTCTTCCCCTACATGGATCCTAATAGCTTCACGCGCTCTGAGGCATTCGACTGTGGAGCATACCTGCCGGTCCTCTTATGACGAATTTGATACTTCTCCAGGAAACTTTGAAACCGGCTTGCTACAAACTGGACTCCGTTGTCGGTGAGTATTACCTCTGGAACACCAAACTCATGCCATATTTCCGACTCCAGATATCTGACGACTGCGTCTGCTGTCGCTTTTGGCATTGCTTTTAACCAAACAAACTTCGTCAGATGATCCAGCACTACCAATATGTAGCAGTTGCCCCTTTTTGACCGTGGATATTTTCCCAGGAAATCCATATACAGCTGCTGCATGGGCCGTGAGGTGATTGTTTGTTTGCCCATTTTCGGCCTAGTCATCTGGGTTGTGTGCTTGGTTTCCTTGCAGATGTTGCAGTCTTTAACGTAGTTTTTCACCTGGATTGCCATCTTGGGCCAGTAGTAGAACTGCCTAAGCCTGTTAAGCGTGCGACCTATGCCTCCATGCATCGCGGTATCGCTGTTGTGTGCTTGCTGGATTAAAGTATTTGTTAACACTTCCGGAATCCACAGCTTCCACGGAAATTCCTGTGTGTCCCCGGTCACAAATTGTATTCGCTTGAGCAAGAGCCCGTCTTCCACCACTAAATCTGGAAACTGCTCGGCATTTTCCTTCACCGTTTGGATTCTTTCCAGATACTCGGGACTTTCAAATTCAATGGTTTCAAAATCGAACACCTCAATGCCTTCTACCTCCGGGATACGGGACAACATGTCTGCCACCACGTTATCTTTCCCCTTCCGGTGCTCTATTTGGAAATCATATGCCTGTAACGCCAACGACCACCGCGCCAATCGTCCGTTTAGGTCTTTTAGCGTCATGAGCCATTGAAGACTTGAATGATCGGTGATGACTGTGAAGGGTAAGAGTTTTATATATGGGCGAAATCTATACACAGCTTTCACTGCGGCTAAGCACTCTTTCTCTGTCACCGTATAGTTCAATTGAGCTCCTCGCAGCTTCTGAGAGTAAAACGCTATCGGTCTCTCATTTCCATCCATATCCTTTTGGAAGAGAACCGCACCAATACCCACATGGATCGCGTCGCATTGGACGAAGAATCTGCTCTGAAAGTCTGGATGTATCAGCACGGGAGCTGAGGTGAGTGCTGTTTTCAGTTTGTCAAATGCCTCTTCTGCTGCAGGTGTCTACTTGAACTTGGTCTTTGACTTCAAACAGTCCGTCAGAGGCGCCGATACATCTGAAAAACCTCGAATGAATCGCCTGTACCATCCAGCTGTTCCTAGGAAACTCCTCAACTGTCTCACATTCTTTGGTACTGGGATCTTGGCTATTGCCTGAATCTTCCCTGGATCCGTCCTCAAGGACCCCTCTCCGATTACAAAACCCAGATACTTCAGGAATCGGAAGCAGAACTTGGATTTGTGTAGCCCGATCGTGAGGTTGGCGTTTTGTAAGCTCTTGGCAACCTCGGTAAGTATCCGCATATGATCCTTGAACGTTTTCGAAATAATCAACAGATCGTCTAGGTACACAAAGACGTTGCTCCTGAGCTTCTGAGGGATGACCCGGTCCATTAGTCGACATAGCCGTTGAGCAGCGTTACAAAAACCAAACGGCATCCTCCGAAATTGATACAACGGCCTTCCCGGGATGGTGAATGCGGTGTACTCCCTGCTTTTTTTGTCCAGCTCAATTTGCCAGAACGCATGCTTTAAATCCACACTGCTAATGTAAATGGTTTCATCCACGCGGCTCAGAATCGACTCTATATTCTGCAATGGGTAAGCATCCTTGATCGTTACCTTATTGAGTTTCCTCGCATCTAAGCATAATCGGTTTTTTCCAGGTTTTTGGACCAGAGTAACTCTATTGTTCCATGGGCTTTCACTAGTCTCGATTACACCTAATCGCAACATTTCGTCTACTTCCGCATAGAGCAATTCCTGGACTTTTGGTGACACCGGATAGAACCTTTCCTTTACTGGGACTGTTCCCGCCTCCAGTTGTATGGAATGCGTTTCCAATTCCGTCAGTCCCATGCCGTGTCTTTCGTAAGTTAGAAACTTATCCTGCACTAACTCCAACTGTGTTTTCTCTTCCTCAGACAGGACGTGTGGTTCTACCGGTTCGCTCGTAACATGGAACTCATTCTCAATCGACGACAATTCACCTACCCCTACGACGTCCGGAGCTAATGAAAATTTCCGCCAAAAGTCTATTCCCAAATATAGTTTTTGCCGCAGTGAGGGACATAGGAGCAATGATATGCGGTGAGTTTCCTGTTTATAGCAAACGTCCACCTCTATGCGACCCGCTATCCGGTGTGTTGCACCGCCTGCTGTCTGTACTGTTGATCTCACTTTCAAAACTTCTAGTTTCAGCCGCTTTACCAGGTCCATACACCCGTCTCCTAGGATGCTCTTCGATGCTCCCGTGTCAAGTAGCCCCTGCATTGTATGATTTGCAACCAATACCTCGGCAAACGCTCGGTTTTCCGTCGTAGCTGCTGATATTATAGCTGTGCAGACCTCTCTTCGTTCCTGTTTTCGTTGCTGGTAACGCCTCCGGGCTCGGATTATCCTCGACGACTTGCGGGAATGGCTATCTCCCCTTGGTTCTCCAAATATCCTTTCCCTTGCCTGCTGATAGTCGCGTTCCCTCTCTTCCATAGGTCTGGCCACGTATTTTGTTCCTATATTTACCTTGTTTATGTTTTTATTTATTAATATCTTCTTAAACACTGACTTATATTTATCTTTTAACATATCTTTCAGATCCTCGGAGGCAGTTAATTCATCGTCTTGGGATGGGAGCGGGACTCCTCCGGTTGCGTCAAGCTCCATCTCGCGTTTCCCGCCTGACATTTCGGACACCGAGTAAAACGTACTCCCTGTCGGCCGCATCTGTAGCAGAACTTATTAAGGACCTCCGAGTCGCACGTGTAATACGTGTGTCCCGGCATGGAGCAATTGTAGCAGACCATCGTACTTTGCGCTCCGCCTTCTCTGCCCCGGGAAATGGCCTCTACAAACTCGGAGTCCTCGTCCGGCTCCTGGGGTACATACGCCTCGTGAACCTGGTGCTTCTCCTTCGGTGGTCTCTGGTGCTCTTGCATCCCGGATGTGCGCGACCAGCGATTGGCCAAAACCCTCTCGGCTTCGTGGCATTCCTCCCTCAGTTGTTTCAGGTTAGTTAACCACATCGGATATATTATCCTCGATATCCCGTGTCTGATGTTCACTTTAATTGTCCTTATTAGGTCGTGGTCGGATATGTTGATGTCCAACTGGGATCGGAGGCTCAGCATCGCCTGCAGATACTCATCCACGCTCTCTCCTGGTCGTTGCTTTCGCTCGCGTAGTTCTCGCTCACGCTCGAAGTTCGAACGCAGCGTTTGGAAACGTTGTTGCAGCGCGTTTTTTAGATTTGGCCAATCCCTCAATCCCGTTGTGCGTACGTGCATCCAAAACCACTCCTTGTTCTGACCATCTACCAGGCAGTGAAAAGATCGAAGAACCTCTTCCCACGTGACTTGGTAAGCCATCTGTAGATGCTCTATCCGGAATATAAATTCACCAATTGGCATTCCCCTAGGTCCGCCATCGAAGGATATACCCCACTTCCTGGGATGGCTCATCTCGGGTTTGTAATCCCTATGCCCGCCACTTGGATTCCCATTCAAACTTCCGGCCGCTAAAACTCCTGGCCTAAACAGAGGTGGTGGTTGGCTATACTGATGCCAACCCGCCCATACCCTCTGTTGCTCTTCCCAGAGTCTGCCATCAGCTCGCTGCTGCGCTGGATTAGGCATGGCTGCTTCCATCGATGGTCTAGGAGGAGGCTCCTGAGTGTCTGCCTGTGCCTTCACTGTAGGGCGGACGATCTGATTGATTTCCTTCATGAAATTCATCATATCCTGTTGCATTTGCTTCTGGAAAGCAGAGACCTCAATGGACGCCGCTTTACGGTAAGTTTCATGAGCTTGTAATAGAGCTAAATTAATGGCTGACTCTATTTCTTTACCTAAATGCACAGGACGCTTCCCTTCCTCATCGCTAGTGAGATTGTGTTGGTCGCCGCGGGGAACTCCGTCGCTAGTATGTGCTTCCACGCCCCCCACTGCTCCCGTCATATCCTGCTGGTCGCTAATCTCAAAGGCTGCGCTACCATCCATCATAAACCCCTGGGGAGGAATGATATCCTTTATCTCTCGGTTCACTTTCTGATTGGCTTGGGAACGTGTAGCTGGCGGAGTCATTATTTCGGATCCGCGGTTCAAAAAAAAACTCTAAACTTCTTCTAATTTTTCTATTAAATGTCTGCCTGTTTCTTTCGCCTTCTGACAAGGACCACGACCGCTGGATGTTGTAAGCTACCGATCCTGATCTCTTTTTGGTTGATTCTGACTTTTCGCCGTCTTTATAGGTGTTCCTTCTTCCGACGCCCTTGATGGGCCGCGCCGAACCAGGATATTTCTGTCTCCTGTCGGGGTCCCGGTCGTGGGCACCTCAGCGATCATCCTACGTGGCTGCGTCTCTCGCCTCTTAGTGGGACTTCTACGATTTGCTCTTGGTAGCAATTATCCAGGACCACCACTAGTTGTCGAGGACCGGCCGGAGATTCTCTTCCTTTTCTTTTTTTCTGTCTTTTTATATTGGGCGCCACTCTGTTATGTCTCGACTTATTTTTGGTGATCCAACCATCGGATTCCGGCTAGCAATCGGATTTCTCAAGCGTGAGTATGACCTCGATAGTTGGATCTGTCGGCACACAGTAATAATTTATTTTCTTCAGACTTGATGACAACTTTAAAAATGAAAGGAAACAAGGACTGCGGACCTGCTGTTGATGGCCGCGGAATATACCCCCCTTCCTTGAGCTTCTGTATCTTTTAAGCAACTCCCCGACACTGGCTACTGGGTCTATTATGCGTCACCTCACCCCATTGTTAACACTCTACTCGCTCATTTTCTTTTCCACTTTA